GCTGTTGGAGGTGCTGGAGCTGGAGGTGCTGCTGGAGCCGTTGCTCCTGTGGGTGCTGGAGTTGGCGCTTCTGGTGCTGCTCGAGGTGCTGCTGGAGCTGGTGGTGCTGCTGGAGTTGGAGCTGCCACTGGGGGTGTTGGTGCTGTCCCTGCTGGTTCTGGAGGAGCTGCGCGGCCGCGGCCGTACTTCGTTCCGCTCCTTCTGCAGGTTCTTGGTCTTCCGCCTTCTACTGGTCCTACTCCTTCCTTAGAGTGTCCACCGCCTGTCCAGTCGCAGTCACAGGTACAGCCCGCCTCCCCACTGCCTGCTCCTTACACTGGTCTGACCGGAGGTCTTACTGAGCTTCGTGAGCCCGAGTCTCGTCCTGCGTCGCCTATTCGTGCTGCTCGCACTGGTCGTCGTGGTTCGCGTCAGCATCCTCCTCCTGTCCCTGGCACACACCAGATGACTCTGCGTCCGTCCACTGCTCCGCAGCGTGTCCCTCTGCCGTCTCCTCCTGCGTCCTCTCTTCCTGCCCTTGCTGACCCGGAGTCTGACTCCCTTCGTGCTGCTAGTCCTACTGTCACGCGTCTCCTGGCCACTGTTGTCACTGACCCTTCCTTTGAGTCCACTGCTGCGTCTGCCTTAGTTGCTGAGCTTGTCGACTTTGCTGCTCACTGTCGTCTAGACTACGCCACGAGTCTTTTTGCTGAGTCTGCGTCTGTCTGTCCTCCGTCCGTCGGGGGTGAGTGTGCTCTTGGCACGGACGTCCTTGAGGACAGGCAGGAGGAATTTGAGTGCTTTGCAGCCGCTGTACCTCATCTCGTGTCCATGCTGATTGCACCTGAGGGAGACCCGGATGCACCAGACATCCCGACCCCGCGCTCTTACGCAGATGCGATAGAGGGTCCCTACTCCTCTCAGTGGCAGTCAGCCATGGACACAGAGATGGCATCCTGGAAGTCCACAGGCACCTACGTCGACGAGGTTCCCCCTCCTGGGGCGAACATCGTCAGTGGCATGTGGATTTTCAGGGTGAAGCGGCCGCCGGGTTCTCCGCCTGTCTTTAAGGCGCGTTACGTTGCTCGAGGCTTCAGTCAGCGACAGGGAGTTGACTTCTTCTAGACCTTCTCCCCGACCCCGAAGATGACCACTCTTCGGGTTCTGCTGCACGTCGCTGCTCAGCGTGACTACGAGCTTCACTCTCTTGACTTCAGCACTGCTTTCCTACAGGGCAGCCTGCACGAGGAGATCTGGCTGCGCCGCCCACCTGGCTTCACTAAATCGTTTCCTCCTGGTACCCAGTGGAGGTTCCGGCGGCCAGTCTACGGTCTCCGCCAGGCGCCCGCGAGTGGCACGACACACTGAGGACTACGCTTGCGGCTCTTGGGTTTGCTCCTTCCACTGCTGACCCGTCACTGTTTCTACGCACCGACACTACTTTGCCGCCGTTCTACATCCTCGTGTACGTCGACGACTTGGCTTTTGCTACTGCTGACACTGCTGGACTCGCCCACGTTTAAGTCGGAGCTGCAGAAGAGACTCACGTGCATAGACCTGGGTGAACTGCGCAGCTATCTTAGCTTGCAGATCACCCGGGACAGAGCACAGCGCACCATTACCTTGACTCAGTCACACATGGTGCAGCAGGTCCTTCAGCGCTTCAACTTCACGTACTCCTCGCCTCAGGCCACTCCTCTGTCTACTCGCCAGTCGCTCTCAGCTCTGCCTTCGGATGAGTCCGTAGAGCCAAGTGGCCCGTACCCAGAGCTTGTTGGCTGCCTCATGTACCTGATGACCTGCACTCGACCTGACTTGGCATACCCTCTTAGCATCTTGGCACGCTATGTTGCTCCTGGGAGACACCGACCAGAGCACATGGCTGCAGCTAAGAGGGTGTTGCGCTACCTGTGCAGTATGTCGGGCATGGGGCTCGTGCTTGGAGGACGGGCTCGAGTTGTCCTCACTGGTCACACAGACGCTTCTTGGGCTGACGACTTGGCTACGCAGCGGTTGTCACAGGGTTACACCTTTAGCCTTGGTTCCGGCTCTGTTTCATGGTGGTCTACCCGCTCGTCCTCTGTTCTCAGCTCCAGTTGTGAGGCTGAGATCTACGCTGGGGCCATGACTGCATAGGAGTTACGCTGGCTCACCTACCTGCTGACCGACTTGGGAGAGGCGCCTCGTTCTCCTCCAGTTCTGTACGTCGAAAACAAGTCCATGCTGGCCTTGTGTCAGGAGCACAGACTGGAGCACAGAACGAAGCACATTGCTCTGCGTTACTTCCTTGCTCGAGAGTTGCAGCAGCGTGGTCAGCTTCGTCTTGCTTACGTGGCCTCTCGGGCCAACACTGCTGATATCTTTACCAAGGCACTTCAGCCTTGTGATCATCAGCGTTTCCGTACTATGCTAGGTCTTGTGCCTACCGGGCCTCACTTGCTTACCTCTTGACTTTGCTTGTACTGTGATCTATATATACCTGCACCTGCTTGCTTACCCCTGCTAGGTTGAGATCACTGTCTTGCTTGTTCACCTTGATTTATCATCCTGCATGTGAACTGGCCTTGTGGCCTTGAACTTGTGCTCAGAATGTGTGGTGACATTGTGATCCACCTTGAGCTTGACCTTGCCTTGTTCTCTTGCTTGTCCCCCACTTTGCCTATGGGGTTGTGTTAGAACTACATTGTAGGCTGTAGTGGGGTACACAATATGGGGTACAACTCTTTTAGGTTTTCATACTTGTACCCACTTGCTTTCTAGTTGATCCATTCCTTCGTTCATTCTTCACATGTAACTCCGTCACTCCGCCTGCCGCTGCTTGAGAGCCTTCTCCTGTTGCTCCCGTCTAGCCTGATAAAGGAACAAACACAAGAAAAGAAAAATAAAATCATGGGCACCACCACACTCATACTATAAGCATTAACTGATGGTACAGAAATGTTGCATTAAACGGTACACAAACCACCACGTATCTGCTCTCACCTGTTCCCTCAGGACTGACTTCCTAGCTGCTAGGTCCTCTGCCTCCCAAGCTTCCTTCTCGTCTGCACGCACCGAGAGAGCCCAAAGCCACCAGTCGAGCAGATACCGCATGACAAAGGGGGTAATAAAAATATGGGGATTCGATTGAGCATGCTGGTTATGCATATTCCGTCCTCCTAAGGTTGGTAACTGGGAAGAGGTGACTGCAAATTAGCTCATGCACATCTGGAGGGGTTTCCAGTTGCAAAGCGTGGAGGGCGTCTTCTCCACCTTGGTCTTGTTCAGCCAGTTCACATGGGAACCAATTTAACCGCTTTACAGCCGATTCAACCGCTCTACACCCACTTCAATTCACAAACCTTGCAGGTCGGGCGTCTTCTCCAGCTTGGTCTTGTTCAGCTGGTTTCCAACTCCATGGAGACTAGTTGAACCCCTGTATAACCACTTCGAACCCCTCTACACCCACTTCAATTCACACACCCTGCAGATTAGGCGTCTTCTCGACTTTGGTCTTGTTAAGCCGGTTCACCACCCCATGAGAACCATTTTAACCCATTCAAACCCAATACAACCCACCTTGCAGATCAGGCGTCTTCTCCACCTTGGTCTTGTTCAGCCAGTTCACCACTCCATGAGAACCATTTTAAATCATTCAAACCCATTACCACCACCTCGTTGAGCAGCTTCTCCACCCACACGCTGTGCACCGCCTTGGGGTTGTGAAACCCAATCTGCAAAGGGACCATGCTTATATGGGAGATGAGGTGTAGCCATTGGTGTCGCTACTTTCGTACTACCACCACCTCATTCAACCGCTTCTCCACCCGCATGCTCAGCACCACCTTGGGGTTGTGAAACCCGATCTGTTAAGTAGTTATGCCCATATGGGGAATGGGGTGTAGCAATCAGTACAACCACCACCTCATTGATTCGCTTCTCCACTCGCACACCCCGCACCGCCTTGGGGTTGTGAAACCCAATCTGCCAGCAAGTCATGTTTATATGGGGGATGAGGTGCAGCAACTGGTGTGATTAATTTCACAAATCACCAGCACCATCTCACTTCTCTCGAATCGCATGCTCCGTTCCGCCTTGGGGTTGTGGAAATTATAGTCATGGTTTACAGTTGGGTCAGAATTATTATTTGGAAAGGGCCGAGGTTTCTTTTGAGTGGACTCCAAAGTCGGTTGTTGTGGAAATCAATCTTTCGGTTTAAAGTCGTGTCAGAATAAGAATTTGAAGAGGGTTGAGGCTTCTAGTTTCGGGTGGGTTAGAGTCTGCGGTTAGAGAGCATTGCAACTTGATCCGCGCCCAGAATTTACCTGCCCCACGCCTCACCTGCCCCATGGCTCACCTGCTGCCCTGCGTCTCACTTGTCCAACGTCCATGGAAGCTGTCTTTCGAAGGTTGGCCCACGGCGTGTACACCACGTCAATGTTCCTCATTGCCACTCTTTTCCAGATTTCATCTGGCCCACACCTCACCTGGCCTCCCATGGCCTCCCATGGCCTCCCATGGCCTCACCTGGCCTCCCATGGCCTCACATGGCCTCCCTTGGCCTCCCCTGGCCTCCCCTGGCCTCCCATGGCTTCCCCTGGCCTCACCTGGCCTCCCATGGCCTCACCTGGCCTCCCTTGGCCTCCCCTGGCCTCACCTGGCCTCACCTGGCCTCACCGCACCGCACCAGTCTAACGTCCATGGAAGAGGCCTTTTGCAGGTTGGCCCAGGACGCGTAGACGACGTCGATGTTGCTCAGCTTGTTGCCTAGAGGTGCCGGGTGGGGGGGGTGAGTGAGAAAAGCGGGAGGAGACCGGGGGAAAGGAGATACATTTCATGAAGGCACCTGGAGATTGGCCCAGGGCGTGTAGTGTAGACGACATCGATGTTGTTCAGCTTGTTGCCTTCAGGTGTGTGGGGGGGGGGGGTGAGGGGGATGGGGAGGGGAAGGGGGAGAGACAATACACCGGGGTTTAGACCATGTGCATACTCTACAGAGGTTGGCCCAGGGAGTGTACACCACGTCGATGTTGTTCAGCTTGATGCCTTCAGGTGCGGTGTGGTGGGGGAGAGGGGGGGTTGGGGAGGGAAGGGGAGGGTATACATCCCTTTGCCCTTTTACCACTCCTTTGCCCTTTCACCACTCCCAACCCAGCCCAACCACCAAGATCAAATCTCAAAACTCATCCATGCATGACGGAATTGACCTTCACCAGTTGCCCCGCCTGTCCACCCACTCCAACCACTAGAGACCGCTGTCTCCCAACCCCTCGGAAATCCACCCGTCAACTCAGCATCCGTGAAACCTTCATACAAAGAGGGAGGAAAGGGAAAGGGGAAGGGAAAGGGAAAAGGGAAGGGAAAGGGAAAAGGGAAGGGAAAGGGAAAAGGGGAAGGGGAAGGGAAAAGGCAGAAGAGAGCTTGTTCACCCATGGAACCTTCATACAAAGAGGGGGGAAAGGGAAAGGGGAAGGGAAAGGGAAAAAGGAAGGGAAAGGGAAAAGGGGAAGGGGAAGGGAAAAGGCAGAAGAGAGCTTGTCCACGTGGTACCTTTATACAAAGAGGGAGGAGGAGAGCGGGGAATGAGGGGAGAGGAAGGGGAAGGAGACGACAGCTTGTCCACGTGGAACCTTGACATAATAAGGGAGGAGGAGGCGAGAAATGAGTGTGGGAGGAGTGGTGGGGAGTGTGGTTGGTGTGGTTGGAAGGGGAAGGGGACGAGAGCTTGACCACATGGAACCTTCACGTGAACAGGGGGAGGAGGGAGGGAAGGGCGATTGTGGGGAAGGACGATGTGATCGCACGCAGAACACCCAAACGGCGTTTGAGTCGTTATCCAATTCAACCCCGTTATCCAATTCGACCCCGTTGTCCAGTTCGACCCCGTTGTCCAGTTCGACCCCGTTGTCCAGTTCGACCCCGTTGCCCAGTTCGACCCCGTTGCCCAGTTCGACCCCGTTGCCCAGTTCGACCCCGTTGCCCAGTTCGACCCCGTTGCCCAGTTCGACCCCGTTGCCCAGTTCGACCCCGTTGCCCAGTTCGACCCCGTTGCCCAGTTCGACCCCGTTGCCCAGTTCGACCCCGTTGCCCAGTTCGACCCCGTTGCCCAGTTCGACCCCGTTGCCCAGTTCGACCCCGTTGCCCAGTTCGACCCCGTTGCCCAGTTCGACCCCGTTGCCCAGTTCGACCCCGTTGCCCAGTTCGACCCCGTTGCCCAGTTCGACCCCGTTGCCCAGTTCGACCCCGTTGCCCAGTTCGACCCCGTTGCCCAGTTCGACCCCGTTGCCCAGTTCGACCCCGTTGCCCAGTTCGACCCCGTTGCCCAGTTCGACCCCGTTGCCCAGTTCGACCCCGTTGCCCAGTTCGACCCCGTTGCCCAGTTCGACCCCGTTGCCCAGTTCGACCCCGTTGCCCAGTTCGACCCCGTTGCCCAGTTCGACAAGTTCGACCCCGTTGCCCAGTTCGACCCCGTTGCCCAGTTCGACCCCGTTGCCCAGTTCGACCCCGTTGCCCAGTTCGACCCCGTTGCCCAGTTCGACCCCGTTGCCCAGTTCGACCCCGTTGCCCAGTTCGACCCCGTTGGACGCATCCCGCAGATGTGAAGCAACTATGTGGTGAGCATTGTGCATTGAGCATGACTGGTTGTGCCTACACCAGCCGCCACAGCTATGCACATCCCGCAGATGTGGAGTAACTATGTGGTGAGCATTGTGCATTGGTTTCTGAGTCTTAGAAAAAATCCTGTGTCCTTTTGCGAATTCGATTCTGTTTTTAAAGTCAACTGACAAAAACGCTATCCTTGAGATCAGCTGTGGAATGGTGGTGAGCATCGAGCATCGAGCATCGAGCATTGAGCATCGAGCATCGAGCATCGAGCATTGAGCATCCAGCATCGAGCATCGGGCATGCCTAGTTGTGTCCACGCCATCCGCAAAAGCTATGCACGTGCTATGCGCGGTTCTGGTGACTGCTTGTTGCTCCCTGTGCTTCATGTGTGCGCATCAGCGCTTGCGTGCTTGTTCCGTCTCATGCCGTCTCATGCCGTCTCATGCCGTCTCATGCCGTGTCCTGCCGTGTCCTGCCGTGTCCTGCCGTGTCTTGCTGTGTCCTGCTGTGTCTTGCTGTGTCTTGCTGTGTCTTGTTGTGTCTTGCTGTGTCCTGCTGTGTCTTGCTGTGTCCTACTATTTCTTGCTGTGTCCTCGTGTCTCATGCTGTGTCCTGCTGTGTCTTGCTGTGTCTTGCTGTCTCATGCTGTGTCCTGATGTTTCTTGCTGTGTCTTGCTGTCTCATGCTGTGTCTTGCTGTGTCCTGCTGTCTCATGCCGTGTCCTGCTGTGTCCTGCTATGTCTTGCCCCTTGCAATGTCATGTCCTTCGTATCGGGTTATGTCGTCTCATGTCATTTCATGCCATGTTCGCATGCACTGCCACGAGCACTGTTCCGCCATCTCCTATGAGCAGAGCAAGAGCATGAGGCAGCTGAGTGTTTTCACCACATTCCTCACCTTTGTTGGCTGCATCGGTAAGCTCCACTCACCCTCCATTCTGTATATCAGTCAATCACCTCGCTTTCTTTGAGTCGACTAAACGAATCAGTCACCTAACTCTCCCATCCATGATGCTGCAGGGTGTTTTTGAGAATTCTCAAAAACACCCTGCACCATCCATGAACTGACTCCTCCTGAGGTTCCTGAGACATCCTTCCACTCACCTGTTTCTCTTGATGACTAGAGCGATGCCAGTTCTGTCTGCCAACCCTTTTGAGGTGGCTCAGACCTCCTTCCTTCGTTCAGTATGAATGGAATCACCCTTTTCTCTTGACTACTTGAGCGATGCCAGTTCTGCCAACCCGTCTTGCAAGGCAAGACATGATCGTTGGTAACCCGACTCACTGCCAAGATTCTGCTAGAGCAAACAAGCACACAAGAGTATAGGCACTTGCTGACCGGACTTGAGTCGGGAGAGGAGAAGGTGTGCTACATTGGGCGGTTTTCCTGCTCTGTGCTTCACGATTTTTTTTTTCTCTTCTGCTTCTTGGTGTTCTTTCGTCCTCCCCATGCCGCAGCCCGTCTGTTCACGTCTATCCACGAAAAGGCCCCTCTCAGCAGTAAGGCACTCCTCACATATCCCTCGTTTCTTAGGTACCCATTTTCTCACCTCTTCGCCTGTTATCTCATCCGTTTGTTTGTTTTGTTGTTTTTGTGTTGCGAAGCAATCCTTTATGATTGATTTTGACAATTTTTTTTCCATGGTTTTTTTTAATAAATCATGGAAAAAAATATTCGCAAGCTACAGTACCACCCTTCCCATAGTGCATGCATGTTTAACAGTTTTGAATAATGATAGCAATTTTTTTTAACAAAATTTGTCACGAAATCTATTTCTTGTAGTGGTTTTGTGCATGACTATTGTTCTGTTTGTATTATATATTGTATTGTTTGATGTTGTTGTAATAATTGCATGTAATTGTGAAAAGAATGAGGAATGAATGAACTAGAAATGAGATGGGTACAAATATAAACCCAAGAATGTTGTACCCCTTAGTGTCACTATAGCCTACAGTGACTAAGTAAAGTAAGTCTGACACACCCCCATAGGCAGAGTGGGGGAGAACTAGGGGTCACAAGACCAGTCAAGCAAAACGAAGCAAGCTCAGGGTGGATCACAACGTCACCACACAGTCCGAGCACAACGTCAAAGGCCACAAGGCCAGTTCACATGCAGGAGTATATATATAAAGGTGAACAAGCAAGTGCAGGTATATATAGATCACAGTACAAGCAAGGTCAAGAAGTGAGCAAGTGAGGCCAAGTAGGCACAAGACCTAACATCGTACAAAAGCGCTGATGATCACAAGGCTGAAGTGCCTTGGTAAAGATATCAGTAGTGTTGGCCTGAGAGGCCACGTAAGCAAGGCGCAGCTGACCACGCTGCTGCACCTCACGAGCAAGGAAGTAGCGAAGAGCAATGTGCTTCGTTCTATTCTCCAGTCTGTGCTCCCGACACAAGGCCAGCATGGCCTTGTTGTCTACGTACAGAACTGGAGGAGAACGAGGCGGCTCTCCCAGGTCGGTCAGCAGGTAGGTGAGCCAGCGTAACTCCAGTGCAGCCATGGCCCCTGCGTAGATCTCGGCCTCACAGCTGGAGCCAAGAACAGAAGACGAGCGGGTAGACCGCCACGAAACAGAGCCGGAACCAAGGCTGAAGGTGTAACCCTATGACGACCGCTGCGTAGCTAAGTCGTCAGCCCAAGAAGCGTCTGCGTGGCCAGTGAGGACCACTGGACTCTGCCCTCCAAGCACAAGCCCCATGCCCGACGTACTGCACAAGTAGTGCAACACCCTCTTCGCTGCAGCCATGTGCTCTGGTCGGTGTCTCCCAGGAGCAACATAGCGTGCCAGGATGCTAAGAGGGTATGCTAGGTCAGGACGAGTGCAGGTCATCAGGTACATGAGGCAGCCAACAAGCTATGGGTACGGGCCACTCGGCTCTACGGACTCATCCGAAGGCAGAGCTGAGAGCGAGTGGCGCGTAGACAGAGGAGTGGGCTGAGGCGAGGAGTACGTGAAGTTGAAGCGCTGAAGGACCTGCTGCACCATGTGTGACTGAGTCAGGGTAATGGTGCGCCGTGCTCTGTCCCGGGTGATCTGCAAGCCAAGATAGCTGCACAGCTCACCCAGGTCTGTGCACGTGTGTCTCTTCTGTAGCTCCGACTTCACGTGGGCGAGTCCAGCAGTGTCAGCAGTGGCAAAGACCAAGTCGTCGACGTACACGAGGATGTAGAACGGCGGCAGCGAGGTGTCGGTGCGTAGAAACAGCGACGGGTCAGCAGTAGAAGGAGCAAACCCAAGAGCCGCAAGTGTAGTCCTCAGTGTGTCGTGCCACTCACGGGGAGCCTTGCGGAGACCGTAGACTGGCCGTCGGAGGCTCCACTGGGTACCAGGAGGAAACGACCCAGTGAAGCCAGGAGGGCGGCGCAGCCAGATCTCCTCGTGCAGGCTGCCCTGTAGGAAAGCAGTGCTGAAGTCAAGAGAGTGAAGCTCGTAGTCACGCTGAGCGGCTATGTGCAGCAGCACCCGAAGAGTGGTCATCTTCGGGGTAGGGGAGAAGGTCTGGAAGTAGTCAACTCCGTGCCGCTGACTGAAGCCTCGAGCCACCTAACGCGCCTTGAAGACAGGCGGAGAACCCGGCGGCCGCTTCACCCCGTAAATCCACATGCCACTGACGATGTTCATCCCGGGTGGGGGAACCTCGTCGACGTAGGTGCCTGTGGACTTCCAGGAAGCCATCTCTGCGTCCATGGCTGCCTGCCACTGAGAGGAGTAGGGACCCTCTACCGCCTCCGCGTAAGAGCGCGGAGTCGGGATGTCTGGTGCATCCGGGTCTCCCTCAGGGGCAAGCAGCACGGACACGAGATGAGGTAAAGCAGCAGCAAAGCACTGGAACTCCTCCTGCCTGTCCTCAAGGACGTCCGTGCCAAGAGCACACTCACCCCCGACGGACGGAGGACAGACAGACTCAGACTCAGCAACAAGACTAGCAGCGTAGTCTAGACGACAGTGAGCAGCGAAGTTGACTAGCTGAACAACTAAGGAAGACGCAGCAGTGGACTCAAAGGAAGGGTCAGTGACAGCAGTAGCCAGGAGACGCGTGGCAGTAGGACTGGCAGCACAACGAGAGTCAGACCCCGGATCAGCAAGAGCAGGAAGAGAGGACTCTGGAGGAGACGGCAAGGGGACTCGCAGAGGAGCAGTGGAAGGATGCAGTGCCATCTGGTGCGTGCCTGGGACCGCAGGAGGACGCTGACGCGGAACACGGCGACCGGTGCGAACAGCACGAACAGGCGACGCTGGACGCGACTCAGGCTCACGACGCTCAGCAAGACCTCTAGTAGGACCAGCGTAGGGAGAAGGGGCAGGCAGTGGACAGGCAAGCGGTAACTGTGACGCGGACGGGACGGGCTGTGGACACTCTAAGGCAGGAGAAGGACCAGAGGAAGGCGGAAGGCCAAGAGCCTGCTCAAGGAGCGGGACGAAGTACGGCCGAGGCCGTGCAGCACCTCCAGAACCAGTGGGGACAGCACCAGCACCCCCAGCGGCAGCTCCGACTCCAGTAGCACCACCAGCTCCAGTAGCACCTCCAGCAGCACCAGCAGCACCAACTCCAGTACCCCCAGGAGCACCTGCTCCAGTAGCACCTCCAGCTCCAGCTCCAGCAACACCTCCAGCTCCAGAACCTCCAGCAGCTCCAGCGCCAGGAGGACCACCAGAAGACGCAGCAGCTCCGGCGCCTGCACCCCTAGCAGCGCCGACTCCAGTAGGACCGCCAGCTCCAGCACCAGTAGAACCACCAGGCCCAGCAGCTCCAGTACCTCCAGTACGAGCACCTCCGGGACCCGTGGCTCCAGCACCCCCAGCAGCAGTAGAACCTCCAGCACCAGCAGCAACACCAGCTCCAGCAGCACGACTCCAACGCTGAGCAAACCACTTGCGCAGCTCCTGTGGAGAGGGTAGCTCCCGCCGAGGCGAAGCACTCGAAGGACCTCCAGGCTCCGCACCCCCAGTCTCCGCACCCCGAGACCCAGCAACCCCAGGCTCAGCACCC